TATGAGTTGGTCAAGGGGCAAATCCTGGACTGTGCATCAGGTGTTGATACTTTGTGCATCCCAATCCCTGCCCATGGAGCGCCCAAGCATTGGACCCTATTGGTGAAGAAAGGGGATCAGTGGCATTACTATGACACCTTGGAAGGTGGACATCCTGAATGCCTGAAGTATGCCCATGAGATTGTGAAGCTGTTTGAAGGAGAGAATGCAGCAAATATCAAACTGGAATGCAGGAACCATGTTCGCCAGAAAGGAGCTGATTGTGGATATTTTGTCATTGCATACATGGAGATTGAGGCATGCACCCATGTTGAAGGCCCAGCATCTAGGGGATGGCCAATGGCAATCAAGGAGGAATGGCAGATCAGAATGCAGAAGATTAAGAAGGTATTGAGCACAGAATCCAGCAAGCTACATCAGCATATGCAGGACATTGAGAAGAAAGCATACAATCTGAAGAAGAAGCAGGATGATGCATATGCAGCAGCCAATGAGAAATTGAACAAATTGAAGGACATGAAGTGTCATTCAGCATTAGTAGCAATGCAGGCAATGAATGAGAACAGCAAGTTCTTCAGGGCATCAGATTTGAGCCATGAGGCAAGCATGGAGATCAGGATGGCTGAGACAAGATTAGCACCATGCAGCAAATGCAGATTTCAGACTGGATGCCTGAGGTGCATTGCCATGAAGGCATTTGCCTACTGGATGAAGAAGGAGGCATTCCTCGCGAATAAGGTGCCCAAGATTGAAGGACCAGGGCTGAAAGGGATTGTGGTGGTGGTAGTGGTGGTGGTGGTGGTATGGTGGTGGTGGTGGTGGTCATTTGCTACTGCTGCTCTTGGAGGATGGGGGGAGGGGGAGAGGGAGGGAGATGAGCATTGAGAGTGATGATTGACCTTGAATAAAGATTGATTGAGTGCCAAAAGCATGCAAATCCTATGGCAAATCAGGTTTCCCTGGCATGATCCCTGGATAAATTCACTATGAAACCATGCAAATTCCATGGGGGATGAGGGTTGGGAGCACTGACCCTGAATAAAGATTAGATGCCAGAAGCATGCAAATCCCATGGTAAATCAGGTTTCCCTGGCATGATCCCTGGATAAATTCACTATGAAACCATGCAAATTCCATGGGGGATGAGGGTTGGGAGCACTGACCCTGAATAAAGATTAGATGCCAGAAGCATGCAAATCCCATGGTAAATCAGGTTTCCCTGGCATGATCCCTGGATAAATTCACTATGAAACCATGCAAATTCCATGGGTGATGAGGGTTGGGAGCACTGACCCTGAATAAAGATTAGATGCCAGAAGCATGCAAATCCCATGGTAAATCAGGTTTCCCTGGCATGATCCCTGGATAAATTCACTATGAAACCATGCAAATTCCATGGGGGATGAGGGTTGGGAGCACTGACCCTGAATAAAGATTAGATGCCAGAAGCATGCAAATCCCATGGTAAATCAGGTTTCCCTGGCATGATCCCTGGATAAATTCACTATGAAACCATGCAAATTCCATGGGGGATGAGGGTTGGGAGCACTGACCCTGAATAAAGATTAGATGCCAGAAGCATGCAAATCCCATGGTAAATCAGGTTTCCCTGGCATGATCCCTGGATAAATTCACTATGAAACCATGCAAATTCCATGGGGGATGAGGGTGAGGGGGGTTGGGAGCACTGACCCTGAATAAAATTATATGCCAGAAGCATGCAAATCCCAATGGTAAATCAGGTTTCCCTGGCATGATCCCTTGGATAAATTCACTAATGAAACCATGCAAATCTCCATGTGGGATGAGGGGTTGTGAGCACTGACCCTGAATAAAGATTAGATGCCAGAAGCATGCAAATCCCATGGTAAATCAGGTTTCCCTGGCATGATCCCTGGATAAATTCACTATGAAACCATGCAAATTACACGGGGGATGAGGGTTGGGAGCACTGACCCTGAATAAAGATTAGATGCCAGAAGCATGCAAATCCCATGGTAAATCATGGCATGATCCCTGGATAAATTCATTATGAAACCATGCAAATTCCATGGGGGATGAGGCTTGGGAGCACTGACCCTGAATAAAGATTAGATGCCAGAAGCATGCAAATCCCATGGAAATCCCGTTTCCCCTGGCTGATCCCTGGATAAATTCACTATGAAACCATGCAAGTTCCATGGGGGATGAGGGTTGGGAGCACTGACCCTGAATAAAGATTAGATGCCAGAAGCATGCAAATCCCATGGTAAATCAGGTTTCCCTGGCATGATCCCTGGATAAATTCACTATGAAACCATGCAAATTCCATTGGGGAGGGTTGGGAGCACTGACCCTGAATAAAAATCTTCATTTTGCATGGATCCCAATGGGAATTCTAGGTTCTTTTGTGAGCTGGGGAACTCAGGATTCATTCATTCATGTGGGGGGAAGGTTATTTTTTGAATTACTTTATATTAATTTTCATTTTTCCTAATTTTTTTCTGGGAAAAAACGGTTAGCATTATTCATGGTATATTTTTTGAAATCGGTTAGCATTATTCATGGTCTATTTACTAATCGTAGGTCAACATTACCATGATTTGATTGTCCAGTTGTGCAGTGGCGGGAGACTTGTCCAGGTCTTCTTTTTCTGACCGTTGGCTCCCTACAAAAAGACCACTAGGAAACGACAAGATCCTTCTTCCCGAGCAAAACCGCTTGCCAACCGTTTGATGACTGCAATGGGGTTTGACAAGCAAACACACAATCTCATGTTCCCGTCGCACGTTTTGTTGTGGTTTTCCCTGTGAGGAAAACCGAGTTCCTTACATGTCCCTTTGGTGGCTTAAATTATCACCTTTTTGGGCCAATGTCAGGTGCTTTGGGCGTGACTCCGCCGGGTTCTTTTGTTGCGGGCCTCACGCCGACTGGCCGGGGGCGTCTCAGCGGATTCATTGACCGCAGGCCAATGTCAGGTGAGTTTCCTGTGGATATTTTTGGGTTGGAAATAAAGGGACCCCTGGAAATGAATCCGATTTTATCGGATAGGTGCCTCAGAGGATCCTCGACGCCGAATACGCCGTGCGCGGGGAGATCGTGCACGGGGGCCCAGTACCTCTGCATCCACTGACCAAAGCCAAGCTTTATTGTTTGTTGTCTCCGTTTAGGCCATGTTAAACTTCCAAGTTACATGTGATCCGAATGGTGTGAGCAGCGCCCGAAACAATTCCAGGTTCCACTGCCTGCCTGGTAAGACCTATACAAACCTTAGAACCATGTTAGCAGAATAAATCGATGGGTTTTGGGAGCCACATGTGTTTACAGATGTCGATTCCCATCCCAATGGCACCCAGCGACCAAAAAAACAAAGTTGCAAGTGCTAGGCAAGTTTTCTAATTTTCAAGGGTAGTGTGCCTACGAAGAACGCGTGCCCCCATAGCGCCCGAACAAACAACGATTCCCGAGTGGGCCATCATAGTAGGTTCTGCCTTGTTTCATGGGGCTCCGTGTAAGGCCTGTGCATAGTGCAAACCTTCATAACCATGTTAGAACTAAAAGTCAGTTCTTGTTTTGGGGCCCCGCTGCTCAAGTTGTTAATAGGGCAAGTGAGGATAGGTTGACTGAGGACGCGGTCCTTCAAGCTGGCAGAGCAGCTGGAACAAAGAGACCACGGACTGCCCTTCGATGAGCTGGTCGCTTGCAACATCGGCAACCCCCAGGCGCGGTTTTCATAGTGCCTTCTGGTGGATACCGTGTTATTCACTCACATGTGCATGGCACGTGCCCTTTTTCCACCCATCCAGAAGACTCTTTGCCAACCCCTTCTGTCAGCCTCCATCGGGAAACAAAAGGGAACTCTGAAGCTCATTTCGGGCCAGGCTTTCGGTTTCCCTGCAAACCACACATCAAATGGTGGAGTCATAGAAGCACCCCATATCCATCGAGAAGTTTGGGCAACCGCATGGTGATCTGAGAGGCAGTCGGGGCGCGGCCGATCACCTTCCATAGACAGGCGGGGAGTTGGCTTCGGATTCGACCCATGCTTCAGCGCCCGGCTGGAAAGAACGGGAGGGTCGTCCTTGACATTGAGAGAAGCCATTTGTGTTTGTCTCAAAATAGGATATGGACCTCTAAAGTGATTGGTTTCCTTTCAGTTCCCCTTCGAACCAACCCAGGATACCGAGCCTCACACCCATGTTTCTTCACGGCCCATGCGTGGATATTTGGAAAGGGTCGGAAGGAACCACCTCCTGTGGTGAATTGGGGGAACAACCCAAGACATGGTTTGTCTGAGAAAAACAGGGGCTTGGTCTTCTTGTGTTTCTCTTCAGGGGCCACTTTCTACCCTGAGGATTGGATCTTTGGACCAACCCAGCTTTTATTTTCTCTGAAAGGCTCACCATTACTGCCTGGGCCTCCAAAAAGGAGCTATTTGAGGGCTCTTGGGTGCCCCTAAGGGGCAAAGACGGGACCCCTCACGGGTCCGTGAGCGTCTGGGTAGGTGATCTCGCTGCTCAGCAACCCGATGTTGCTGGAGGCACGCGTGCTTTGAACTCGGTTCCAACGGCTCACAAGCGGATGTTCCCCTGGAAACAGGAATCACTGCAGTCGAAGATCACCGGACTTTTAGCTTCTTGGAGCTTAAAGGAATTCATGACATATCCCACAAGCCACACGCTTCAGGCAACCTTTGGTGGTTTGGATTGGTGGTTGGGATTTGAAGGTGTAAAGGGGAAACGGCCCCATCCAAACCAGCAATTCGAGGGAAGAGCTTTTTGCACTGGATCGGAAAGCAAACATGTATCCGTCATCCACAGTTAGGTATAACAGCTACCTGCAATGCATATATGTGCGCGCTTGACTTAATGTCCGAACAATTATCCTCAATCATTTGCCCGTTTTCGAACAGCCAGATCACTGCAGACTGCTTGTTGTCACAGCAGAATGGCATGGCCCCAGGAATGAAACCTGACTGTCACCATGTTCCGCTCGACGTTTGGCTTTGGGCTCCATGGCATAGGCCCCGAATTCGCCGCCCCGGTCGAGCCGCGAAAGCAGTTGGCTCAGATTTGCAGAGGGCGCCATGGCTCGGGAGATCTCGAATCCGCTGGGAGTCCGAGACGATTGAGCACTCGATTTGATTTTAGTTTCTTCTTGTTTGGTGGGTTCTCCTTTGGTGCCCTGTTAGGTGGGTTTGGCTCTAAACTACGCAGGCTTAGAGTGGGCCTCTAAACGTTGATCAAGTTGCAGGGGTAGGACATTGGTTTGGTTTCCTTTGGGGCAACCAACGTACCTCCCTTTTGCCAGGGTCTTTGGAACAACCTTGTGTAACAAAAGCTGGCTTCTTCTCTCTGACAAAATCTTGGCAAATAAGGAGTGATTGACGAGCTCTTCGCGAGGTGCACCGGGGACAAGCCGCCAAGTGAGTGGCAGGAGAAGGCTCACTTTGTGAAAACGCTCGAGCTGGAGAATGAGGCAGGGTGGCCAAAAGAACTCGTTGGCCTTAAACCGTGTGCATGACCAAGTGCTGCCCGAAATAGAGCAAGTGCCATTTTCACTGGTGCCCGCAGGGACTCGTGGTGCCTAGTGCGAGGCCCGCAAGCTTGATCAATTTACGCAAGAGAAAATGCCACTCTATCTAAGTCATGTGCAATATCTAATTAGTGGACCGGGTATTGCTTATCATTTGGCTGGCATCTGCGCAGTGCTGTGCAGGCTCGCTTCAGCGGGTGTTCATATCATTTGGCTGGCATGTGCTCGTTGCTGCGGAAAAGGAAAATCCAACCTTCCCATTGACTTATTCTCACCCATTTTCCAGGAGTTTGACAATGAGACAATTGGAGAAAGGAATTCAGAGAATGGAACAGACACCTTGAAATGATGTCTCTCTCGGTCAGGGAGAGATAGGATGACCTCCGGTTGCTTCTCTTCTGTGTAAACGAGAAGCGGAGAGATGGGACGGGAGTTAGGAATCGAAGAGACGAGAAAGAAAGCGATGGGCCTTTCCGGACTGCCGAGCCATCCTTGACAATCGAATAGTGTGAAAATGGAAACAGATATGAAGAGAATAAGACTAATAGTAAAAGGGCTGCAGAGGCCCTGATTTAGCAGGTGCTTTCTTCTGGGGGCAATGGCCAGGAGAACTTTGCCCGGGTGCCGTGCTTGAACGATGTGCTGGCGGAGGAAATCCCGCCGTTTAGCCTGGTGCGGTACAGGTGTTTGGTTCAGGACGGGCGTTCCGGGTTCAGGTAATGGAATTCCAGACTTGGCATTCTAGCCGTTTGCCTTTCGGACGGGCCTTGGTTTAGGCAATACATGAGGAAAGATATATATATATATATTTGTTGCTCCTTGGGATGAAGGCCAAGAATGCGCTTGGACCCCATCAGCTTTTCTTGGCTCCACCCTTGTAGGATTAGCGCAAGTGACCACAATTGCCCGAATATTTACGAGAGGATTGTCCCGTCATGACTTGGCACTCCAAGCCCCCATTCAGTTTATTTCGCCCCTTAGGACATTATTTACCTAAGGATTACATGGCCCCATGGCCACCGTTCTTGATTGAAGCGGCGGCTGAAGATGGTTTGTCACTGGTCGAGATCTGAACATGGTCATGACCGCAGATATGAATCGTATGCCCGGCAAATAACACAGGAATCAAGCTCTGATAAAAGGCCTGGCAGCATAGGCCAAGCCTCCTTAAGAGTTCGTAGTGTTCTGAGAGCATTTCTGGGGTGTTCTCTCGTAACATTCCCCCTTGCTTCCCTTCGTTGACTGGAGTCTGCCAAGGGCTCCTCGCCTCCAAAAATGATCAAATTACAAGGGGCGACCCTTTAGAATTGCAAAATATGTTTCTTGTCTGCGGGAACCCAGTTGTCGAGTCCTGCTCTTCTTTGGGAAGGGGTTCCCGTAAAATGCAACATAAAAGGCCGCCCGGTTTTGCAACTGCGCTGAGAGAAGCCCCAGGACGTTTTCGAGCCTGAGCTCTACTCCATGCTCCTGCTGGACCGCGAAGCGCAGCGCTTTGTGACCACCAAGTACCGGGAGACCCTCCCGGGTGGCAAGGACTTACAGGACGCCTTTTAAACGCGTCCCCGCAAATTGAACTGGAATCCTTCTAACCATATTTTGAGGGATCTCTTTGTTTTCAACCCCCTTTCAGCTTCCCTCTAACTGGTGGCTTGGATTGGTGATTTGTTGGTTAGGGTGTGGTTTTCCATTTACCCTCTAGAAAAGCCAGGGGTTCAAATCCCCAAACCACCAATCCAATCCACCAATTAGGGGTTAGCTGTTTAGTTGAAGGGAAGTGATTTGGTGACAAGCCAGAATCCACAACTTGTGCGGAGGATTTGGGTCGCAACGGGCTGGGCACCCGGGGCGCCTACTACTGCGTGCCGCTGCCTGGAGAGACGCCCTGGGCCAAGGCCGCCGCGGCGGCCGGGCGCACGGCAGCGGCTTCCGCGGGCCAAAGCCAGGCCCGGACCAAGCGCTCCAGGGACGAGGACAAGTTCGCGGGATTTCGTGGTAGGGGGCAACCGACCCAAAACCAATTCCCCTTGTTTTACACGAAAGTCATACATTTTGGATTGAGGGTTGACCCGACTCGTGTTCCTGTCAACGGTGAGCTAGGGGATCAGAGTAGAAGGGGGAGGGCCTTGAAACCGGTTGCTTTTCTTTCTTATTTTGTAGTGTAAAGACTATGCAAGGGGTTGAACCATTAAGGTTGGTGTGATGTGCTTGGCTGGTTGCGTCCTGTTTCTTGAGTGCCCAAAACCTCCATTGGCCATTTTGGGTGGTTCTACTAAGTTCGTAGTAGTGCTGCAAGACCTACAATTGACCCATACCACCTTGGCAGAACCACCCGTGACTGGGTTTTGGGCACTCACCCACGTGACGAATCGTCCAAAGCTGGGCGGCCCGCGAGGACGTAGACATGGCCGACATGGAGCCCGCGGCGGAAGCCGCGCCGCAGGTCTCACAGAAGCCGAGGCAGAAGCAGGCGCCAGTGCCGACTCCTGCCAGGTGGGGTGTCGTCGGTTTTCGTGCGAGTTGGTAACCAGTTCACGGGCAATCATAAGGACCAAACCGCCCAAAGTTGTTCTGGACTGAGCAGATTGCCCAAGATGGGCACCAGTTTTGAACCTTTGAAATTGAACCCGTTTTGACACGCATCCGTTTCATAGTGGTTTCATGCCCAGCACTTGGTGGACCTCGGGAAGAATGCCGGGCCGCGTGAAGGGCCGGAGTGGTTGAAGTGATTGGAACACGAACATAGATCCCTGACCGGTAGCACCTGTTTTTTTTGGGGGGGGTGATTTTGTGCGATGATTCCTGATGCGCCAGGAACTCGGATTCCTTCGGCCTGAACTTCCCATTGCCCTGGGAAGAGGACCCGCGTCCCGCGGTTTCAACCACGTTTGAATTGCCCGGCGAAAGGTGAAAGCCTGAGCTTGACAAGCCTTCCCAAAAAGGGTGGCGAGTGGTCCCCCCTGGTTCGTCAGCTAGAAAGCAAGGGTCAACCCGGTCTTCACAAATTTCTTGCCAATAAAGAAGGAACGAATTGAACTGCTTTACGATGTGCTTTGGTACCTTGCATTCCCTAAAGATGCAGATAAATCAAGCACAAGCCAACGCAAGACGGGTTATTCCTTGTTACAAGTTGTTACAAGTGTACACTGTTCCTTTCCGAATCCCAGCACCCCCTTCCCCACGCCTCCTCGCCTCCTCACCCCCCCGCCTGGAAAAAAGAGAGAGGACCAGCGTGCCACCGCCTGTATCGTGAAACTCTACGACGAGGACAGTTTTGGGTTCTTAGGCTTAGAGGAGCACGTGTCTCGGGCATACGTATCCGTAGCGCATTTGCTTGAGCTCTAGGTTGAAGGATACCTTCGGGATTTGCTTTTCCGGAATCCGGCTTCGGGCATTTTTGGAATCGGTCTGTTTGTTCAGAATCCGCAATCAAGGAGACGCTCTCCACTCACACGCAACCTGAGCATGTGGGTCATGGAAGACCGTTTCCCCCCCCTCCCCAACAGGGAACATTTTCTGGTTGGTTTTGCATGTGGACAGGATGATTTTTGATTCGCGAAGCAAAGCGCTTGAGGACGCGGAATCCTTGCGGCTCTGCGAGAGTATCGAGATCCTGGGGGTGCTTTGCGTGGATCCCTCCATGGCCAACTTGGGGGACGCACCATCTTGGCCCTACGATGCCAGGAGCTGGGTCCAACTTTTGACCCAACTGGGGTGGTTTACCTTGAAACCGCATTTAGAACTCAACCTCGAGGATGTCACTTTGCAGAACCCGGGTTGTTTTGGTGCTCTCTGAAAGTTTGCCTTTGGCCATGCTAAATGTTCGGGTGGGGTGAAAGCTAGCCGGCCGTTGTTTGTCTTGGTTTCACGTCCAACAAATTGAGCTCGGGTGTGTGTCGAAGCCAGGGACCATTTTGAGAATGCCTTTCAACCAACCGGAAGATTCTCTTTGGGCACACGCCTATAATTGACCGGCTGCGGGAATGCCTCCTCAAGTCGTGGGCACAAGACTAAGAATTTGTTGTGGAGTGCGTCTAATTTCTTTGTGGGTTCAGGGCAACCCATGTTTTTTTTGGTTTCTTGCCCCCAGCGCCCGAGAGGGTGGAATGGCCGTGGTTGGTTTCCGGGAAACAGCTCTGTTGATTTGGGGATTAAATCCGCTGGTTTTTGTTTGGTTCACATAGAATAATACGAGGGGTGATCAACTAACATTTTAGATCCATACCTGGACACGACACATGCGCCGGTGTTGAACTACGATACCAAACGGAACTGCTGCATCTTAGTTTTTATTGTATCAAAGCATGCCAACTCATTTTGGCCATAAATTAGGTGAATAAGTTTGAAAAGCTGTGCTTTGTTGTGGACTCTCCGGGAAGTGGCTCTGGGAAGGGCTCTTTGGGTGAGTCAGCAAGGGAGAGCTCGGGTTTGAGGGTTCTTTCGGGTCCTTGGTCCTTTAGGCCTAAAAGAGCCAAACGGAAGTCTGGGCACCCCCTTTTTGGATTTGAATGCGCGGTCGTCCAAAATTGGTACCCTTCTGGGACGTGAAAAGGGCTGTCGTTTCGTGCCGCCATTCAAAGTG